ACAAGAACCCGCCGGCGGTCGCCCGCAGACTAGATTGTCTGCCGGCGGTATCAAGGAACGTTCGTCCATGGCCGGGCCTGGACGAAACACAAGTGAATCAGGGATTCACAAAAAGAATCGACGGCGCAAGCACAAGACGCTAAGCAAGTCTCGGTCTGGGACCGAGACTCTTCATGGTGTGTCTGCCGGGCAGACACAAGTGCCAACAGTACGTTGAACGTCTTGACGCGGGCCTGTACTGGGTACCAGTACAAGAAGATGGAGTTGGAGAGCCCTCCGACTGATACGTCGGAGTTGATCTCGCTTCCAGTCATGTGCTGGAAGCGCTTCGCAAAGGACCTGTACGATGGACGCATCGAACAGCTATGCATTCTTTCGGACTGCAAAAGAATGACAAGCGAAGCAGAGGAGTTGAGACAACTCTTCGTTGGAAGCGCCACTGAGAGTGATGATACGCTCAGTGGCAAGACGAAGCAGGAACGCTTCGACGAGCAGAGTTGCAAGATCCGGCGAGAGCACAAGGATGTGCTCTCGGACGAGACTCCCGCGGAAGAAGTATCCCGACGCGACAGTTGCTACTGTTGCGAGATCAAGCAAGGTGCGCGACGGCTTCGCACTAAACTGCTTCTACATGATATTCGTTCACAGCCGGGCTGTGGACGAGAAGAAGACATGCGCATGGAAATGGACCGCTGCGTGGTCGCAGCGGTTAGATGCGGCCAAGCTAGGCTAGGCTGCTGCGCCGAGCTTGGCAGTGGTTGTCCAAGCCCGTCCCTTTTCCCGTACACATCCGATTTCGCGATTGGATGCGCGTTGATGATCCAGTGCATGACAAGGAAACCCTTGTCATGAAGCATACACCCCAGAAGTGCCGAGTGCGATGACTCGGCAACACGTCGTTCGTGGTCTATACCGACCAGGCGACGGTGCGGGCAACCATGACATCTCGTCCCTAGGGCGAGATGGTTGTCTCCCCCTGGAGTACGACTTCCGGGTCCACAAAACCCGGAAGGTTGAATGTCGTCGCACACGTGTTGTCGCGACGACCGAATATTTTGCCACGGCGAAGGCTGCGTTTGCGCTTGACGCAGACGCACGAAGCTGATCGAGTTTCTCTCATCTCCTTCCGACATGGTACGTCGGAAGTTGACCTCTCACTTACGAGCA